GCAGACCACATACCCAAAGGCAGCTACCCAGCTGCTTGTGGTAGATCCCACCATGGAGTTGATTGCCAGTCTCCTCATGGGGATTAACTACCACCAGCTGCCCAGCCACTCAACCAGGCCCAGCCAAGTTTACACACAAACTGAACTACCACAGGAAGAAACAGTATTCTCTTGACAATCAACTTCTAAAAGCACAGTGCTACATCTTTTGGAGATAAGCAAGACTGCTGTTAAGAATATATATGCATGTGTGAGTACTCTCCCTTGGTCATCCAAGTCCTCAGAACTTCTCCCCAGCTGTGTTTTGTATTAATCCCATAAAATACACCCAGGGGACAAATTTTTCTTTATATCAAATTCATTTTGATAATAACATTTACTATTTTTCTCATCTAGGAAGGCCACACTATGAAACATCCTGAGAAGTCCTGCAGTTTAAAAAAAAAAAAAACAACCTTTCTAACTTTGTTTAAACAAATTCATTAAAAAAGTCAGTATTACCTAATGGTTAAGAACTGGGGTTGAAGTGGGGGGTTCTGAAGCCAGGTTTAATACCTCATGCTCCTCCACTTACTAGTTGTATGAACTTGGGCAAGTTACTTCCCCTCTCTGGCTCAGCTTTTGCACCTGAGAAATGGGAATAATAATTCCTCATGATATTATGAAGATAAATGAGTTAAGTAGCAGATTCACAGAGAACAGTACTTGGGATATAGGAGGCACTCAATAAATGTTAGGTATTATTATTGATATTATTGTCTGTCCCCCTTTTTATAACACCTACTTTATATCCAAAAGTGCTTGTGTTTTATAAATATAGGAATGGTGGTATAGAAAAAATCCCTTCTCTAGCTGAAGAGAAGCTGACATTCTGTGAAGTATCATCTGTAAGTTAGGAGGGAGACAAAAATCAGAGATTCAGTCTCCAATGTCAATTTAACCTTCTTAGGTCTATTCCTTTATCTCTAAAAATAAGGTCATTAACTATTTAGTTCTTCCAGCTACAACAGCCTAAGATTCTAAGAAAAGTGCATGGTAACACTAAAACAAGCAGTCCCTGCTAATCCTGGTCCAACCTGTTGCTCCTTAAGGTTCTATTTTTTAAACACCTTGCTCAGATTTAAATTTGAGATTGCAGGAATACAAGTTATGGCTTGTTGCTGCCCAGCAAGATGGATATGGAAATGGACTTCTGCCATCTCACCCAGAGGTTGAAGCATTCAGAGTGGAATCCAACTGACAGCATTAATGGCAACAGCAGGCTGCAACCTGCCCCATTCCAGGAGACCCATCTGCACATTCAACCCCTCTGTCTCAGGATCTGGAACCACAGTATGGGCATCATTTCTGTTTCTCCTATTGTGGGCTCCAGTAGCCAGAAAGAGTTCAGTCCTGTATAGTGGTCACTCTGGTTGTCTGCATCTTCTCAGTTCTTTCCAAGGGCTGAACTCTTCTTTGAGTCTTTCTCATCTATATAGAGGCCTGGGTTGCAATTTCAATGTATACCCATTTGTGCTCAATCTGACTGACATATCTCAAATCCAAATCTTACCAGAAGAGTTCATTCCTACCCCAGTAGGAAAGGGTTGTTCCTTCTGCCCCCACGTGTGTACTGCCCATGCCTTTGCATGTCCTAGGTTGGTCTTTTGAACTGCCAGAATGTCTCATGGCCATCATCAATCTGCATTTTATTTATCTATCTGCCCATCCAACCATTATCTATCCATCCAATATTTATTAAATACTTCTTACATTCAGGTGTTGTTCCAAGTTTTGTTGATGCAGTATTGAACAAAAACAGACACAATCTTATTCTCATTCAACACACATTTTAGTGTAGGAAAAAAGACAAATAAATGAACATCATCACTTCAAATAAATGCTAGGAAGAAAATAAAATAAGGTGACATTATAGAGTAATGGAGATGGGGAAAGGGAATTCTGTGGGGGTGGTCAGGTAAAGCCTTGCAGGGGAGGGGACATCTGAGCTGAGAGCTGGTACTTGAAAAATAAGAAGCAGCCAGTCAGGCAAAGACCAGACCCAGAATATTCTTCTGGTAGCAGACAGAACCACCAGTGCAGAGACCCTATAGAAAGAACCAGCTTGCTGTGATGCAGAACGGAAAGAAGGCCAGTGTGGCTGCCGCAGAGCGAGCCAGATAGAGTGGGCAGGAGATGAGGTCTGAGAGGTGGGTAAAGTTAGGTGTTGCTGGGCCTCATAGCCCAGGGTAAGGAGTTTGGATTTCATTCTCATTGCAATAAAAAGCCACTGAAGGATCTTATGCAGGGAGTACAATGATAAATCCATCTCTCTTCTTGGGGCTGCAATAATAGCTATGGGCTGTTCACTACAATACTTCAGCTATTCTTAGCCCAGTCCTACATTCTATTTGCTTACAATCACACTACAGATATAATGACATTGTAACAGAGTGGAAGTTAAATTTATAAAAAACAAAAGAAAAAACCACCAAAATATATCCTTATTTTCCCTGAAAAAAATGTTACGCTATAATTTAAGAAGTTAGGATTTCACGTATGTTAATTGCTCTAATTAATAAGATAAGCCCTTTCCCGTTGAGTTTGGCAGTGATAATGGCTCAAGGAGGAATGCCATTTAAATCTTCAGAAACCTACAGTAATAAGCTTTACAGCAAAAGAAGCATTGCTCACAGTGACTTAGCCTAGAAAGTAAGAGAACTGGAAATGTAAAGATGGTATCTTTAACAAGTGCCATTCTGTTTTGTAGCTCTTGCCAATATAAATCTTTAAAAAATGTGCATTACATTCAATTTCCAATATAAAAAATAATTTCTACATATGTGCAAAATTAGCAGCTCCATTCTTTGTCACTGTAATAAATGATTAAGCAGGTGTTAGAAAGCTGAAAAAGCAAAGCATTTCTTTCTAATCATGAAAGATACCTTCCCCTTTTTCACTGATCCTTTGGCACAGTGCCTAAAGGATTTGACTGCCAACAAGAAGGTTGGTGGTTCAAACCCACCAGCTGTTCCACAGAAGAAGACAGTGCAATTTACTTCTGTAAAGATTTACTGCCTGAGAAACCCACTGGGGGTCGCTATGAGTCAGAATTGGCTTGATAGCAGAGGATTTGTTTGTTTTTTTCTGTAATCTTGGACCAAAGACCTGCCACAGGGAATAATGACTACTGGAACATTCCTGATAAGAATACATTTTTTTTTCAGGGCTACCAAACCTACTGCTGTCAACCTGACTCCAACTCATAGTGACCCTATACGACGGAGCAGAAGTGCCCCATAGGGTTTCCAAGGCTGCAATCTTATGGAAACAGACTGCCACAACTTTCATGGGTTCAAACTGCTGACCTGTCAATTAGCAGCCGAACACTGAACCACTGTAACACCAGGGTTCCTTTTCCATGGCTACAGCAGGTACAAAATCTCTTCGGCTGACATTGTTCATGAGCTTCTGCTAAGTATCTGTGTACCTTGGAAACTGGTAAAGAATATGTGCTCCTGACAATTATCTTCAGCAAATGGACTGAAACCAGAGGAGGTACAATCATCAACTGAGAGGGAGAGTTCAGTAATTTACATCCAGACAGCTAGGCTCTAAGAGCTCCTCTGATTAAAGTTGCTAAGAGAACACTAACACCACCAGTAATAGGCAAGGCTTTCAAGCACCTGTTTCTACATGAGACTGAGTTGAGATCATTAAATGGAGCAAGACCTTCTCTGTTTTATAGAGAAGAAATACAGAGTAGTCCTCCTCTCAAATCTCCCACATTCTATTTAGATTATTCTTTTACCTTCAATCCCTTTAAGACTTTTGTTGAGGCTAGTATGTAATACAATTATTCTCAGTTTATTTCATACATGCATGATTGTCTTGTCTTCTTCAATAGGCTATAACATGTTTGAAGTCAGAGTCCTCTCTTCTCTTGTTCCCCCTTCATCCATGGTTTATAAAATCAAACCCATACAGGAGGGAACGCAATAAAAAATAATTGTCTTTCAACTTCACTCCCTAAAGATAAAGATGGTTAAGTTTCTTGTGTCTTCCCCATAGAAGTTTGTAGGTATGTACAAATGGTTATACTATTCAGTATTTAAACAAATGCACGTGGGCATTCCAAGGTGGATACAAGCTGTTTTACCTACCACTTTCAACCCCTCCATCTACCAGCACTGTAGCAAGTACTGCACTTGGAGAGCAGATGGAGTTACCCCGGCACAAGCCTGGTGCCAACCAGCTCTGTCTTTAATAAGCTAGGTGTTCCATGGTCAACTTGTTCCATTTCTTTGGATCTCAGTTTCCTCTCCTACAAAATGGGCAAGTGTCCTCTATGGTCCCCTGTTCCCTTTGATCCAGAACTGAAGATGATAATCAACTAAACAACAAATATAAACAGGTATGCCAAGTTCAAAATCTGAATTTTATCATTGCATACTCAAAAAACTCACTGCCGAGTCAGATCCAACTCATAGCGACCCCTCCTTGGGTTTCCGAGGAGGTATCACTACAGAGGGACCTCTGGTGGCATAGTGCCTAAGGCATGTGGCTGCTAACCAGAAGGTTGGTGGTTCAAATCCATCAGCCACTCCTCGGAAGGAAGGTTGGGCAATCTACTACCATAGTGATACCACCTCAGAAACCCAAAGAGGGTTCATTATGAGTCGGATCCGACTCCATGATAGTGAGTTTGGGTTTTTTGGTTTTATCACTACAGAAATAGATTGCCCAATCTTCCTTCTGAGGAATGGCTGGTGGGTTTGAACCGCCAGCATATCATAAATAGAAGGAAAATGACAGAAACAAAGTCACAGATTACCAGACTATGCGTGCAAACTAGATTTATTTTCTACTGATTTTCTGAGATATAATTCATAAGAAAATCCACATGTCTTGTTTGTTAGACCACATAAGAGAAGCACACCAAGTAGTACACGTTGATTGTTAAGTAATCTTAGGATATGTTATCAAACCTTCAGAAAGAGAACCAACCTCACATTTACTTATCACCTTGGCAACACATGTGGGATGGACTTCCCACCAACATTAGAGAGTTCATGAACATTTTTCTATTTTCAAGAGTCACAGATATGTACAATTACATTCAGTAGCTGTGAGGTCACAATTTACGTGATTAGCTAACATCTTTATTATCATTTGGTACCTCAGCTGACTACCAGGGAGGGGGTTTTCCTGGTGGTAAGTGCTGAGTTCTGTTCTAACCATGCACTTTATTAAGAGCACAGATAAATACCCAGGAAAATAGGGAAGTGATGTGGGTGGGAGGCAGGGATTAAAGAGAGAGTGAAATGGTGCTAAGAGCAGCACTGTTAAACATTCATTTAGCCTTAAGCTAAAAGTAGCAGAACCACTTATAATGGTTGCAAACCCTTGTTCTAGGTGATCTGCTTTTAGGGCAAAGCTGAAAGAGAAGAAGTAGCATCTATAAACGTCTTTGCCAGATGTTCTTGCCATTTCTCTCAGAGGCAGGGAAGAGGTCTGGAGAACAAACCCTAGAGATACACAGATCTGGATTCAGCCACTACTGCAAAATTATCTAAGCAATTTTGGGCCTCAGTTTGTTCATTTATTAAAAGAGAGAGAGAGAGAAGGCAATGCATGCAGTATGCTTACTATTATTGCCATCTGAAACTGGGTTTCCATAAACTATCTCCTTTGGAAAACAGGATCATAGAAAAACAATTACAACAAGTAAAATTAAAAAATCCCACCCTGGTAAAGAAACAGTTCCTTACCTGAAAGGAATTCATACAGCGAAGGGACACAGGCAGTGTGGTGTTATTCTCTGATAGTATCAACAGGAGCTCCAAGCAGGTTGCAGCAGGCAGGGTTAGAGAGTGGACACTGATATCACTTTCCCATGAACTGGCAAGCCTGAAATACATTGAAATGTTTAACTTTCATAGATATCCTAGTCATAATTATTTCAAGATTTGAGACAGAAGAAGAAAATTTTCAGTTATGTGGGGAAAAAGCAATGTACAAAAAAAAAAAAAATGGTTATGCTAAAAACTCAGAGTGAACATCCAAGGTATTTTTAGAGTGATGTTAGTATTAAGCAAATTTTTTCAGGTCATTTCATACTCAAAGTATAAGACTTGTACGAAATGAATCTTACTTGTGTGGGACTTGCGTGTATGTGAAGGTTGACGGGGGAATAGCTAACCCACCGACAGTTCCCTACATGCCATGCATAGCTCTGCATGTAATCTCCTGTTCAACCCTTAGTGATCTATGAAAATGATCTACTGTTATTCCCATTCCACGGCATGAAAATCATTTCTAAGCTGGATGTGCCTTATGGAACACCTCATTCAGTAATTTTCAAACTTTTTTAAAGGTGTCAGAATCTTTTTATCAAACAAAATCTTACAAAAGTCCCAATTTATAACACAAATAAAAGCAAAGTTGCTTTGTTTAAAAGGGAAGATTTGGTAGGAGGCCTTCCTTTATCTTCCAGAGTGGCCCTTGAAGCATCTCTGCTACACCCTGTGGAATCTATTTGAAAATCCTTTCATTCAAAAGAACAGAAAACTGTGGACTAGAAGAGTAAAGGGACTTGTCTAAGATGAGACAGATGTTTAGAAAATTATAAAGCTGGGTCTAGAATCCCGGTTTTCTGGTTCTCCATTTAGTGCTCAGAGCAAAGGAAAAATCAGGAAATAATCATGAAGAAACATTAGAAGAACAGCATTCTATTTGCTAAGGTATTTCCTGTCTGTTCTCCTACAGAACAGAATCTTATTACTGTCATAATTTTTAAAGAGAAATGTACATTTTTCACTATTTCTATAAATTTCTCCTTGCAAAGTTTCCTTTAACCACATCAGTAGTGAATACTGGAAATTCAGATAGCATCAACAGCTGAAGGCATAATGGATTTTAACGTCATATGACTAAACGCAAACCAAACTGGTGATGGTTGAGTCAATTCTGACTCGTGCCAATCCCTGTGTAGAACTGCACTCCAGAGGGTTTTTAAGGCTGTACCTTTTAAGAAGCACATCACCAGGCCTTTCTTGTGAGGCAGTTCTGTGTGGATTCCAATCACCAACCTTTCCATTAGTAGTCTATAAATTAGGTCCAGTACTTAACCATTTGTGACAGTCAAGGACTTTCTTTATATGACAAGTTACTACAAAAGCTTTAGCTGTACAATCAGTCAAGTTACTCATCAAGCTGATACATTTCTGATGGATGGTGGGGTAATTCTTTATTGAGGCATTTGACTACTAGTTGAATTGGAATAGGATCTTGCTCAATTTCCTAAAAAATTAGTCCAATTTTACCAAAGGCACACTTCAGTGCCTTTTCTGCATTTGAAAAATTATTCTATTTTGATTGGCTGTGCAATTCTTTCTGCTTCTACTAATTAGATAACATTTCCAACATTCTTCTGGAATTAAAAAACAAGTCTTACTGTCCAGGACAAAAATCAAATTTAATACTAGAACAGTATCTGTCACTCATTTCTCTTCTTCCTAATGCATACTGCAAAGCACACAGTTAAATTCCACTCTCTAAACTGCATTACATTATACTCTCTGTGTCTTGTACATACAGTGTTCTGGGCCTAGAAGGTTGTTACTTCTCCTGGTAGACTCCTATTCATCCTGCAATGCCCATTTGAACAGGAATATCCTTGGAGACATCTTCCACTTTTCCCTTATAATAATTAACTACTTGCCTAATATTGAACTTTTATCTTTTAGAACATTTACAACATTTATTTGGGATGTGTCTACATCTCTAACTCATTCTAGATCAGACATCTGGAGCAGTCCATACATTCTTTTGCATACCTAACTTTGCAGTCAAATTTGGAAATACCCATCAGAAAGCTGCCTCCGGGTTGCTTTTTTCCCCCAAACACACCCAGGTATTAACCTTCTACTGGCTAAAAGAAATACTATTTTTTTTTTCATTTACATTTGTATGTCCAATGAATAATTTAAGTTTTCAGAATTTATACCTTCACCTTCATCTTTACTACCCATGAGAAGACTCACTAAAGCTACTTTCATTTTGAAATTTTTTTTAAGTGCCCTGGAAAGGTTTTGATTTTTCTGACTCTTGCAGAAAAGGTCACTTAATACTGCCCTGGATTGGGAATGTCTCTTGGGAGCTCATCTGTGAATCCCAAAATCTAACCCACCCCATCACACTGCAGACCTTCATAAAGGTTTCTCAAGATGAAGCATACACTGCAACCTGAAATGGGGTCACTGTTGCTCATATTGGATGGACACAGTGGCTGCAACAATGGGCTCAAACATAGCAACAACTGTGAGGATGGTGCAGGACCAGGCAGTGTTTTGTTTTGTTGTACATGGGGTCACTGAGCCAGAACTGACTTGACAGCACCTAACAATAACAGCTGCTCATAATTAAGGATCCTGACAGAGTAGAAATCACCTTTGATGCAGTGTCACTATTTAAGTATTTTCTACTCCTCTTTTAATAGTAATATATTTGAATGAGAAAGAAAACACAGTAAATTATACAGAAAGTATTTTTAAAACCAGCATCTTACTTTATCTTAGTTATTGTTATAACAAGCTCTCCACAATGCTTAAATTTTTCAAGTCTAGGTCTTACGTTTTCTCTATCCTGTACCCAACACATCCAGGGGGAGCTCTGGTGTTGTAGTGCCTAAGGCACTTGACTGCTAACCAGGAGGCTGGAGATTCAAACCCACCAGCCACTCCTCAGAAGGAAGGTTGGGCAATCTACTTTCATAGTGATACTGCCTTGGAAACCCAAGAAGAGGTCACTGTGAGCCAGGTCCAACTCGATGGCACATAACAACAACAACAACAACACATCCAGGTATTGGGCCAAGTGTTTTTTTTTATATTCATGTCTGCAGCCCTACATCACCCCTGAACTGCAGGCATTGTCCATCCCATTTTAAAGATGAGGAAACCAAAGATCAGAGAGGTTAAGTGAATGTCCAACATCACACAGTGAGTAAATGGTAGGACCAGGATTCACTCTCAGGTCAGCTTGGTTCCAAAGCCTATGCTCTTCCTACCATACTACACTGATCACTGAGGACACTGTACATACTATTAAGCTCACCAAGCAAACCATAAATAAGACCTTAATAACAAATGCTATATAATGCTAGTGCTAACTTAATGTCTCTCTCTTATTAATGTTAACACTTTAGTTTATAAAACATACATTTTTTTTTCATCTTTCTGTAAGCTGCTACTTCACAATACATATTCTAAAACTGGAATAAAAAGGTAGTAAGATGGATATGGAAAAATACTCATTTCATGTAAAGTGAAAATAGATATATGATGAGGAAAAAGATTAGGAGGATATACAATAAATATTATGGTTATTCACATTATAGGGAAATAAATAATAAACTGTTATTTATATTTTCTTCTTTATACTTTTTTATGTTTTTATAATCAGAAACAAGTTAATGTTATAAAAATAAGAAGGACAGAACAAAAAGATAATTAAAAAGAACCCAAACCCACTGCCATCAGGTAGATTCCAAGTCACAGAGACCCTATGGGACAGAGTAAAACTGCCCTATAGGGTTTCCAAGGCTATAGAAGCCTTCTTTATAGAAGCAGACTGTCTCATCTTTCTTTCAAGGAGTGGCTAGTGGGTTCTAACTGCCAACCTTTGGGTTAGCACCTGAGTGCTTTAACCACTGTGCCACCAGAAAAAAACAAAACAAAACTCACGGCTGTTGAGTCAATTCCGACTCATAGCAACCCCTCCTTGGGGTTCTGAGGTGGTATCCGTACAAAAGTAGATTGCCCAGTTGTCCTTCTGAGAAGTGGCTTGTGGGATTGAACTGCCAATCTTCTGGTTAGCAGTCAAATGCCTTAGGCACTATGCCACCAGAGTGCCCTGATAATAGAAGATTAAAAATAGGTATTCAAGTTAACAGAGGTAGAACTGACTCAGGGATGGGGAGTAGGAGAAACAGACAAGTATCCAACTTCTTTATGAGTAGAAAGGAGCTCTCTCTGGTGGCATAGTGTCTAATGCATTTGACTGCTAACCAGAAGCCTGGTGGTTCGAACCCACAAGCCACTCTTCAGAAGGAAGATTGGGCAACGTACTGTAGTGATACCACCTTGGAAACCCAAGGAGGGGTCACTGTGAGTCAGATCCGACTCAGTGGCAGTGAGTTTGGTTGTTTGGTTTTACGAGTAGAAAAGGCTCAATGGTGAATTTAAAGGCAAAAAAAAAAAAAAAAAAAAAAAAAACCTGACTACTTTTAACACAGTTTTAATACCCTGATAGATATTTCTTCACATGCTACTCCTTCTCCCCCAAAACTTGCCTTAATATAATACTAGAATCTCTTAATCCTTATTATTAGGTCAGTTAATACCATACCAGCCTGTTGAGAGTCAGGCCTCAGTCCCTTGCTATTTTGAATTGAGGAGTCTCTGTTGCCTGTGAACCTAAAAGTCACCCAGAAGATTAAAGGACTCAGCCCTATTTATGTCTACTGGTGCTAAAATGCAACACAGCTTTAACTGTGTCTAGGCAGAAATCCTTTAGGCAGAATTCTACAGAAGGAGCAGACATGTTTCCCAATGGAGTTTGGGAAGTTATGGCAGGGACTGAAGCTGGCTGCTAGAATGTTGATTTGGTTTCTGATGTAGACAAAAGAATGTTTAAATGCTGCTTAAAGCTTTCAACATACTGCTAAATGATTATGGTGTGATTTGTCAAAAGGAACACTCAGAAAGCAATTAGATGCATGAGAACTGCTTTGTCACTCACAGTGAGTGATATTGAGCAATCACTCAGGAGCCTGGTTTCCTTATAACACCCTGGAGCAGACATACAACCTGACCAAAGCTTCAAACCACCAATATTTTCACAAAAAG